GTGGGTATTACATAGTCACACCTACATTACTGCACATAAGGTACAGATATAATTTTTTGGTTTTCAAAAACCTCATTTGACATTTTACCTCAGCCTCAATTTGTTCTTATTTTGTTCTTAATTTTTAAGCAATTTCAGCCTCAGTGTTCTTATAAAATGTGTTCTTATAAAGAAAAAAGGTGTAGTTCATGTAGAGACAGTACTTTGTAGCACATTATCCTATTGATACTGTAGAATAGTCTATTTAAACACGAGGAGATAAAACGGGGTACATAGGGAAACAAAGACACTATATAGATTTTGTAAACCTAACTAAACTATATGGTAAAATATGTTTCAGTTATGAATACATCCTCCCAACAATGTGCAAAAAAAAAAAACAATTTGTAGAAATAATGAAAATATTTTATGAAGTTTCTGTGTAAAAATCCGGCATGTAAGTAATTAGTTTAGTACGTCATCCGTGGATAGTGCCCTCAGGATAAGCTGGCAAAAGAGGTGATTGACTATGGTCGTCCCACGATTTCCACGGATGATGTCATGTGAACATCATAAGCTGACTTAAATCCCTGAGTGTGTATCCAGAGTTGAAATCTGCAATTGTTCAAAAAATTATCTTGCTTGGTAGATACAATGATAATGGGAATTTACATAGCGGCTTTACACAGTATCTTCACTCGCAGAATGCTGATAACAGAGGCCTAGTATAGTATACATGTCATTCTTAGATTTATATTTCCAAATACAATTGTTGATATCAAGAAATATTTTTGAAATATAGTGTTTTTGTTAAGGTAATAATAAACATTTAAGATGTAATATTTAAAACTATATTTTTGATTTTAGGTTCTTAAATTTCAGTTGAAAAAAATGAAAATAAGTTGTTTTTATATATTCTTTTGCATATGCTCTTAAATTAAATGATTTAATAGTTTTGTAGTAAAAGCTTTTAATCAGCAAAAATGTAAATACTCTGCCGTTATCTCATATTCATGAATGTTTACATTCCCTGTTTTTTACTATAATAAACTTTATCTTAATTATTATATATAATATTTTTTTTTTATAAAAGCCCTTGATGTTTACAATCATAATTAATTATTGATACTACTTTACGTTTGGTCAGGGATATTCACAGATTCCTAATCCTTTAATGGAACTGCTTAATTAACAATATTTCCATTTTTTTCTTGATTTAAAAAAGAAGTCATTGACATAGCACGCTTGTGGAGGGCTTACTTGGTGTTAGATCTTTGGTCTTAAAGGCCATTGAACGTTGTAGTAAAATTAACGTGATTCAGGTGATTTAGGATAGGTGATTCACACTCTCTAGAAATGACCTACCAAACAAACAGCTCTGTGAAAATGACGTCAAATCCTGGATGCTTACTCCTACAGTTCCAACTTGATGACGTAAAAGAGTAACTGAAATAGGAAGTGAGGGTGCTTACCAGGTGTTGTGTCTATGTTAAGCAATGGCTTATAATATTCATTTATGTTGTGTACTTCAACACAGGCCAAATTAGAAAATTGTATATTTTGTAATTGCTCACAATATGGAAAACCTTTACTGATTTTTTTTTTCCATTAAATATATTTTCATGGTATTTGATATCAGTTTAAACCTTTTTAATTCCATTCCTATCAGTGAGTATCATACTATTTATGTGGGCTTTTTCGGGTGGGTTTAGTCATGAGAGACAAACACTGATACCTCACTGTGTTTGTTCCCACTAGCTAGCATCTTGATCACCAAGCTATGTACATTAAAAAAAATGTCTTAAAAAAAAATTAATTACATCACTTTTGTACTACATGGTGATCGTTTTCATATTTGATTATTATTTTCTTTTTATTCATATTTAACTTATTGATATATTATTAATGATCTTGTGTAACTAAATAGTATTATTGTTTAAAGATTAATTTAATTATTAAATTCTTTGATTCTTTGTAAAACAAGGCATAGACCTAGTATATTTTCCTTTTCAATTAGCAATAATTAAATATCACAAAAATACTTTACTTTCAAATGGCTATTAAGTTATTCTGATGAAAGTAAACCATGGAGGTAATATAGTGAATACATCCATAAACCAACAAAAACTGATTTCCTGATTGTGGCAAAAGTCGTAATTTTATGGTTGATTTCATCATTACTATTTCAAAATTTGCATGACATAATAACCAGCATAGACATGTATGCATACCACCAGCCTATGGTTACATGGTAGGTGAGTTTGAATCTGGTTTGCACAGTTGGTTAGTTTTTTTTGCACATTTTAATTGTCAGTACAAGGTTGGCTCATTCAGAGTTATTGAGAACATGAAAAGATATCGGAAAGTTGTGCAATTAAACGGTTCGTGTTTCTGTCAAAAGAAGCTAAGCTGTAAAAAAAAAAATGGGATGTTACCTTAAATGGCTGGTAATTAAATTGATTTTTTTTTCACGTTTCTTGAAATGGTTTGTAAAAAGAATATGTTAAAAAGCCTAAAGTGTATCCTGTAACCAGAGTCTTTGGTGAAAAATGATAAATAAGATTTACTGAAAGCTAAAAACTGAAGATTTGATTTTTTAATATAGAGTTCTATGACACAATTATCAAGATAATCCATTCATTTTGTACTTTATTCTGGAATAAAATTTGTATACAACAAAGTTAACTATGTATATAATTATTAATCATAAAAATCATAAGACCTGACAAAAATAATGAATGTGATAAAGTTTCAATGTAAAATTGTAAACTCGGAAATATGACTATTACTGTTTTAAAGTGGGAGGAATAAGTGTAATATATATAGTATCCAATTTGGAAGAGGCAACGCAAGGGAAATTATTAATTGTAAGCAGTACCACAACACAGTCAATAATACCACAGATGTACTTTATACACCTAAACAAACTATTTGATGAATTTTTTCATTTATTTCAAAATTGTGTTTTGATAATATATTTAAAATCCTTACTTTCATTTCAAGCCTGTCCAGACTATCAAATTTATCAAAAAAACATGTGACATGCCTAACTATGGTCATAATGACATCACATCATGACCATATATAGGCATATCATGACCATATATAGGGAGATCATGACTATATATGGGCATACAGCAATTTTTTGTCAAAGAAAATTTGATATATTGGACAGAGCTTAAGACTGTAAATTAGTGAAAATTTATTTACAGGTTTACCTCCAATTAAAGACCACTTTCGGTACCGGGGTTTCCATGGTCGTTAATTGGAGGGAAAACTGTATTTCGACCGTTTCGATGTTTCATTGTCAGTAGATCCTCCCAAATATATGCACTTGTTTTATTTTCTAAATGTTTTCCAGATCTTATTAAATACAAATGATTAAATAATGATGATAACAAGATGAAATTCTAAATATATTGATAGGGGAAGTAATTACAAATGGCCTAATGCCCTAAATGACCATGTTATTATTGTAGACATACAATATCGTATACAAGGAACAAGAACACTTGATTGTCTCGTACTCCCTACTGATCTTACACAAAAGAAACTACCAATATTGAATAACATTGGTTTGGTTTTCTTTGTAAGCTACTGTACTGTATTCTGCCAATTGTCATTGTGTCAATGCAAAATCAATCTAAATAGTTTCTCCCTTGTTGTAAGGTATGCTAAGCAGAATATTACTGTTGTCTTAGGCTGAGCATGGGCTAAGAGACCTTTTCTTGGGATGAGGCCATTTGCAAGGTTAGTCTTTGTTGGTGGAGTCTTAGCTTCCAAGGCTGGATCTAGCTATGTGGCTCCTGCACATACTTTATGATACCATGAACCATCTTAATCTCCAATAGTTATGGATTAGGACTTCAAAATTATATAATTAAATTTAAATTGTTTGTAATTTATTTCATGTTCAAGATTAATTTATAATTTTTTTAAATTGCTAAAATACAAAAACAAAACAATATCAAAAGGGGAAACTCAAAAACAACCTATTTTCTCTTTGGAATTATGATCATTCAGATTTAGAACAAAAACTATAATAAATATGAAGCTATCAATTACAATGCAATAAACAGAAGGGAGGGGCCATCTTTATATATGAATCACTTTGTTTATTGAACTAGCTTTATATCTGTTGAATTGTACACAAATCATTGTGTCTATCTATGGACACACCCTTCTGTTTATTCACAAAGTTATTTGGAGCTTTTCATTTTATACTTAATACTGGGTTCTAATGGACACCAAATAAAATAGTCTCAATGTAAATATATATTTCCTGGAGTGTATTAAAGTGGAAATCATTTTAAACCTATATGAACATACATTAAAACTATTGTGTCATTATTTAAAAATGTTTTGGTTGAGCACTACTGTATGTATAAAAAATGGATAGCATCTCTTCCATTTTAAAAAATGACTTCTTAAAACAAATATTAAGCATATCTCATAAATGCATTATAAAATGTTCCTCTAAAATAGGATTCAACTAATTAAAACTATATAAACACATAAAAAAAATATAAAAATAAAAAGCATCAAAATATTAAGTATTAAGTACAATATATTCTAAAATAGGAAACTAATTAAAATTATATAAACATAGATAATTATATTTATATATGCGCAGTGTTTTTCAAAATATTTGGTTAAGCACTATTAAAATAGCATCTTTCCCATTATAAAATTATGAAAAAAGAAATGTTTCATAAATCAAACTAAACCATTTAGTGTATAAATAATATAATAATCTCATCAATGTATGGTGAATTATTCAAAAATTATATAGACATACATAATATACAACTAGAACAGTTTACACTAAAGTATGAAGTAGTAGTTATGTACAGGTCACAGGCCTAACTAATAGAGTCATGTTGCCTGTGTTGACAGCATCCAATCAGCTCATGAGCTGGATCAGTTGAGGTCACAGAGGTCAAGCTGTCATTGAGTTGGATTTCTGGTTTTTGTTCCAAGGTTGAAGTCCAGTCTAGATAAAGCAGTCTAGTTAGGAAATAATCTGATCATTCATCCTGCAGTTGTTAACGCTGCAACACCGCGCACAGACACAGCCTCTCTCTATTATGTGTACACATTGATTCGCTCTGTCGTCTTTATAGAGAATTTAATAGCCAGGAATAATTTAACCTTTTTGCATGACTCTTTTTGGATTTATAATCATATTTGCTTGGATTTCTGAATGACTTGTCTGCTTTCCTGTAAATCATAATGGATTATTATAACACAGTTGCAGTAGTTGAGAGCATTGAAAGAAAATACATCTGTACTACTGTAGACTATTGTCTACTGAGTACCTAGTTTACTGATAATAATACACCCAGCTGATTGTGATTGCTGAGTTTATGCTACTTACCTCATAGTCTTTTCAGTCACTGTTTTACTAAAAGATTTTTTAAAATTTTCTTCAACTGAGTATTATCAAACATCAAATAATTTAATAATTACTCTAGGCCTTGAATGCCTGATTGGATTAATACATTTCCTAGCCTTGTAAGTACATTTTTTTTACATCATATATGTATGTATTTTATATTTCAATTTATTCTGTATATTTCTATTTACTTGGTTTGGAAAGGTTGCTTAACCACATGAATATTACACTAAGCCTAATTACCTATTTGCCTGTTCATTGAAGCATTCTTCAATACACCAACATATCATATTTATCGACATAGTGACATAATTTGAATTCCAGTTGCAATATCTCATTGATAGTTCTGATTACATTTTTTTGAATAACATAAACATGTGGTTATTAGTATTGAATACAGAGGAAAAATAATATAACAACTTACTGTCTTGTACATTCTGTATAGGGTTGAATAATTAATTTCTAATTAATATACATTATTATTATTATTATTATTATTTTGTGATCCTATATGTGGTAATAATCTTAATTTAAATGTTGAGAGTGTTTAAGTATCAAGAGTACTCATGTACCTTCTTACCCTTTACAGTCTTTGTCTACACTATCAAATTTTCATTGACAAAAAACTGTTGTACTGTATGCCCATATATAGTCATGATATTCCTATATATGGTCATTCTGTGATGTCATCATGACCATATTCAGGCATGTCACATGTTTTGTCAAATAAAATTTGATAGTAAGGTCAGGGCTTAAGAAGAGTAATTAGGTATTTAATTTTGCACAACTTTTAAGACAGAATATCAAAGTTCACTCAAAATTAATGTTTTTCACACACCTCTTTCTTAACATTAAATTGATTTAGAGTTATAATAACGCAAAATGATTTGAATCATATTCAATAATAAATTTTATAATAATATTGATAATAATACAGCGACAATAATGATTCCTAATTTGTATAGTGCCTCGCATTGAGATTCACCTTGCCAGGCTCTTTGTATTGATTTTCGCTGACGGTTCAGAGGTGGTAATTAGACTAACAGTATTTTTATACCGTAAAATAGGGCTTCCTTGAATAAGGCAGAGTTCATCACTGCTGTTCGTAGATTGATGCTCGTTTAAATCGCAATTTAAAACTTGACAAGCATAGTGAATAAAATTCTTTGAAGAAATGAGATGTTCTATGCAGTTGGAAAGATATAAAAGGTCATCGCAGGTTCAGTAATATCTCCTGGGCTTCTGATCCTCCCAACTAACAACCATTATTTGTAATTCAGATTTTTTTTCTTTATGTGAAGAATAAATTAAAATGTAAAAGATCGCCATTCAGCTACATTGCAGAAATGTATAAATTTTTAGTTGAGAAGAAAATCATTTGTAATGTAGTCGTTACAATGTTATATACACTTTTCTTAGCGAGGTTGTTGGCCTGAGGAGCCGAGTTCCACACATTTGATTGATGTGTCATTGTTGGATTTAAGATTCATTGTGCAACATTTTTTTGAAGTCATTCAATTAGTCATGAGGTTTCACAACAGAAACAAATAACAAAACAATGCCTGAAAAATATATATTTGGATATACTATTTGAATAATCAGTTTCTTTTATTTAATATACCTATATATTTTTTTACAATTTAACGTAAATTTGTTATAAGTTTGCCCGCATTGAGAATAGGCAAAATCCTAGAAATACTGTAAAAAACAACCTGCTCTCTCTCTCCTTTACAAATAACATGAATTTTAGTTGTTGATGATATTGTATATAGATATCTTACAACAATTTTAAATTTATTAGATACCGTCCAAATTAAAGGTCTCTGCAAAGAAGAAGGTTTATAATATTTTACTCTTCTGATAGTTGGTGAGGAATATTTTATATTTTCTTGTTCTGGTTTTAAATTAAAGCTAATAATTTATAAATTAACATTCATGACTGCCAGTTTTGGCCCTAGGAATTCCCTGACAGGTGGGTCCAAAGTCCCCAACCGAGGATACAACAAGGTCCCTAATTCTCTATTGAAAAGATGCATGGACCGCGGCAGTGGGTCTACACCTACTGTACATCAGCCCTACTATAGTTACTGTACAGCAAATTGTAAGATAAAATTCGAGTCTAGGGTAGCCAAACAGGGGTCCTGTTCCTCAATGGACTCCCTGCTAGCACTACCACTGTTGTCTGCACAAAGCAGAAATTACTTTAACACTGGCATTGTGAAAAATAAATAAAATATACTGTAAAGGTATAAAAGACAATGAGAAATTAAAATATTGAATTTATTCATTCAACAGAGACTTCGATAATGATTATAATTACAATTAAAGAAAAAAAAATACTCAAAAGATAATAAGTTTTACATTTAAAATACAATGCCAATGCCCATCAATTACTGTGTAAAACATATGATATGATGAGAAAAAAGTAAACAGTTGATTTTCAATTGATTGATTCATGCTCTACACTGTAGAATCAATAGGGCCAACGTTTTATCAACCACGTCTTAATTAATACTTATTATTTAATGATTTATTGCATTACTGCAGTTCAATAGTAACAATTATGATTTCCTTTATTTGATACTACTAATTCTTTTTTAGGTTATGTGGTATTATCCTTGTGATGAGCTTATCTTGTTTGTATTTCTTTATCAAATGTTTTTATTGTCAATATTGATCTGAACTTTTGAACTAGCTTGCCATAAATCACCATCCATCTGATGCAAAGTTTGATTCGTCTAATTACTTTATGTCCAGTATAGAATTCTAGTTGAAAAGGAGAAATAGAAATACATAAAGCATGAATTTAGTACATGTTTCGGCAATGCAAATAGAATACATATTCCTAATTAATGTAAGATAAATTTCTGTTTTTGTGAAAAGATATGTCTACTATAATAATAATAATTCTACGGCAATTGATCTATTATAATATGTGGGAGGGATGGTGATGCAATATTATTAAAGAATAATAATTTAATGCAAAGAAAGGAAGAATATAAATACATGATAAATTTACAGTAGTATATTTTAGCTCTACTCTTAGTTTAAATATTGTTTGATGTTTCCATAAAAAGATGTGTCTGCTATTAGTTGATCTATTGAAAGGGAGATGGTACAGTAGAATGTATTATTTAAGGTGATATCTGATTTGTGCACAAGAAGGTAATTAGTGTATGAATGAAGAGATAACTGGAAAAGAAAAATTGAGTGGGAAAATGTGATCCATTTGCTGATGGATAATTTTCTTGTTTTTTGTTTCCAAGGTAGCATCATAAAATAGGGAGGCTGTGTTACTCTAAACTACAGTGTATACTATTAGTAACAGACCACACTTCTTAAACATAATACAATTTTTTTTTCATGCAGTGAAGTTCTGCAGTTGACTATTTCAATGATAATACTGTAGATTTAAACTTTATAAAACACTAGAATTTCTTCTCAAGATTACTGTGCAATAAAAAGAATTGCACACCCACACACCTAATAAAGGGACTTTTTAGAATATCACTTAAGTCTGTCCCATAACCGGTTTTGATATTTGTTGTTAGATAATGAAAGTGAAAAACAGAAATCGATTGGAACAAATGACAAAAATATCTAAAAAGCATATTGTATAATGTGTAATACTCCCGTAGTAGTCCCGAAAAGGAAGACAAAGTGCGGTGGTATTTACAAAAATTGCAAGGAAAAGGAAACAATATGGAATCAATTTGGAAGGCAAGGGAAGTATGCTTTGCCAAGTGTGCAACAAGTAACATCTATTCTGATTCAAAATGCATGTTTTCATTTCCGACATTAAATTGAGACAAACAGAAGGGTTTAGCCCCATCCCTATAGGAATGCTAACCAGACAGAATAGGGCTTCTTGGCACTTTATACAATAATTTCTACCAATGTACTAACAGTATTCTACAGGTACTATAGTCAAGTTAATTATTGCCTATTGAGTTGGCAATTACTAAAATATCATACACTGTACCGGTAGTGTATGTCCCGTGTATGTCTGCCTTTACGAAAAGCAAGTATATACTGTACTTTCAAACAAAATTTATCAAACTTTATTGAGTCTGGCAGATAAAAAATATTTAATAATAAATAATGATAAGGTTTCTGGACGATACTAAGCCCAGATCATGATAAAATGAACATATTTTTTTTATTATTTCATAGATTTACAAATTAGAAATTTAACTACAATAGTTATATTGTACTTGTTAACTTATAAAATTGTTGATAATATAACAGAAATACTGTATAGTATATGATAAAATGCTGTAAGTTCAAATAATTTACAATTTGTTACTCTCTAAATATAGTTCACAAGTTGATAAATATGCGATATTAAAACTGTTTTTGAATGGTAGTAATTGGGGGGAAAATCGAGTGAGATTATAATTACAAAGCATGTTGGTTTCTGTTTCGAGATCCGTGTGAGAATTCATTGGTTAGATTATAAGTTCCATAATCGATTTTACTTCTCATTGAAATAAATTTATAGCTTTATATTATTAAGGAATACAGTTTTTAGATCAAGCTTTATATCAGTGGACAAAAATAGCACATTTCAGAATATGAATTTGATCCGGTAGCTGATGCAAATTATATTGTAAGCGGTAAATGTAATTTGACTTTAAATACATTTTAACTAACTCAGTTTTGCTCTGCAGTTTTCACACTGACTAAATTTTATTGTTGAATGGTTTAGACCTGCGGAAGTCTAGTTTTTGACTTATTAGTTAATGAAGATTTTCTAGGGTAGAGGCTGTTAGTATTATTAGAGCATGCACAAATTATGCCTTAATAGAGCATGGCAGTATTAATAGGTGCATAGAATAGTCCGCTTAAATGCACAGTAATGCTTTGGTAGAGGTTTAGGCTTTTGAGTGCATGTTCACTAGTTGTTTCAATTCTTATCTTGTTCTTTGGATAGGATATTAAGCTGTTGGGCCCATAGAGTGAAGGTGAATTTCTCTTTTTATGAAAAAATTTCTGTCATCTGCATACATGTGTTCAGGGACGGATTTAAGGGGGGTGGGAAGCCCGGCTCTTCCCACCCCCCTTCACCCCTATTTTTTCATAAATAATGCCATAAAGTTATTGTGGGAATAATTCTTTG